CCGGGCGCGGGGGCGGAGAGGCCCGCCCGCTCCCAGCCCCCGCCGCAGGGGAAGTGATAACGCGGACATTTCCAGGAAGCTTTGCGGAGCTGGGGGCAGGGCTCGGGGGACGCGTTGGCGGCCTGGTAAACACTGCGGAGGCAGCTTTCCTGGCCCGCTCCCCAGCTCCCGCCTTTCGGTCCAGGTCTCCCGAGGGGGGAGTTTCCAAGGGGAAGGGGAGGCAAGCGAAGTAAAAGGCTCTGGCGAGCCAGGCTGGGAGGCTCAGTGGCCAGGGGAACGTGGAGGACTCCGGGGAAAGGGGATCCCTGCTGGGAAGAAAAACAGGGAGAGAGACAACAGGGGTGAGGACATGAACTGAAACCAAGAAGTGAGTGAAGCCGCTCCAAGAAGACTGGAGAACACAGGGATAAGGGAAGCAAATGGGATAGTTTTGATCATCAACATTTTTATTTTGTACCTGCATGTATGGTCTAAAGCAGGGGTCCTCAAACTTTATAAACAGGCCAGTTCACTGCCCCTCAGACCGTTGGAGGGCAGGACTATAGTATTTTTAAAAAAAACTATGAGCAAATTCCTATGCACACTGCACATATCTTATTTTGAAGTAAAACAACAAATTGGGAACACATACAATATTTGTATTTGCATGTGGGCCGCAGGCCGTAGTTTGAGTACCCCCTGGTCTAAAACAACTATGGCGAAATAATGTTTTGATGAAGAAAATAAAAGAGAATGTGTCCAATTCCATCACCTTAGAAAGCTCATTTTGTTTTTTTATATCTTACCTCTGCTTTTTGTGCTTTAGGCATACTCCTTTGAAATATGTGTTATTTAATGTTTAAGACCGCCTGTGGAGCTAAACTGCCTGGATTTAAATCGAAATGCTCTGCCACTTATTAGTTATGTGACTTTAAGCAAATTGATTAACCCCTCTAAGCCTCAGTTGTATTGTTGGATTGTACCCCGCAAATCACACAAAGACGCCTCAAGAAGTCAAATTAAGGAGCCACATTTATTTCAGAGCCGGGGGCTTCGAGGGGGCAAATGCTCTCCAAATCTCGAAGCCCCAACTGGCCATAACATCAGGCTTCTACAGGCAAATATCACAAAGGTATTGATTACATCTCGAGGTTTGGAATGAGGAACCTGGTTTGCAAAGCAGTTTGTTACAGACGCTAAAATAAGCAAGTTAGTTATGTACAAAGATTAATTATAGTTTCAGGTCTTGAGGCCACTGCGTCAACAGAAACACATTTTCTGGAGTCACGGAAACAAATCAATTGTGCTGTCCTGGTCTCCAGGTGCAGAGGAATGTGTTTTGAAAGACGAGTAAAACCACAATCAATGGAGTATTCAATTGAATGGGATGATTTATGTAAGTTCAGAAAATCAAAATAACTTCTCTATTATTTTAGCAAGCAGATAAGTACAGAAGCCAAAACAGCAGGGTTAAAAATTAAACAGCAGTTTTTACCAGAGGTGATTGCTACCATGCTTCATTATCACCTGTAAAATGGGCATAACAGTGTTAATGTAAGTGTTAATGTAAGTATTTTTTTTACATTGATAACACCCCAAATCACACACACATAAAATGCAGATAGCTCTTACAAGTCGAAAATTATAGAGATTTCCCAAAATGGATATAATCCAGTCCTCCCTCGAAATCTGTTCTTTGAAATTCAGGCAATCCTTAGTCTGAAATTCAGACTCAGAGTCACAAGAGAAGAACAACAAAAGTTGAGATAGTCACATACTTATGATATAACTTCCTTCATCCTATTGACTGCCTTGAGGTTAAACAGCCAAGAGTGGCTCTCTCGGGTCCTCGTTTCCAAGATGACCAAGAAAAGAAGGAATAACGGTCGTGCCAAAAAAGGCCGAGGCCATGTGCAGCCTATTCGTTGCACCAACCGCGCCCGGTGCGTGCCCAAGGACAAGGCCATTAAGAAGTTTGTCATCCGAAACATAGTGGAGGCCGCAGCCGTTCGGGACATCTCCGAAGCGAGTGTCTTCGACGCCTATGTGCTTCCCAAGCGGTATGTGAAGCTGCATTACTGTGTGAACTGTGCCATTCACAGCAAGGTAGTCAGGAATCGTTCTCGTGAAGCCCGGAAGGACCGAACACCTCCACCCCGATTTAGACCTGCGGGTGCTGCTCCACGACCTCCACCAAAGCCCATGTAAAGAGCTGAGTCTTCAAAGAGTGAAGAAAGTTCTCTGGGGGGAAATAAATGGAAATTGTATTTCAAAAAAAAAAAACAGCCAAGAGTGTTTTAAGTTTAATCAGGATCTACTTAAGGTTCACTCATTCCATTCAGTTGTTATATATCACCAGCTTAGGTATTTCAACAACGTAGTTACATCCCTTGTAAATTGGTCATTATTTAAATAAAAGTTTTAAATTACTTGCAAACTAATTATTTAATTTTCAGAGTCTTAGTATCAGCTACATATATTAGTTTTAATTTTATTACATAGTACAAATCAAAATAGAGTAACTGACATTCTCTTGTAAATGATTCATTGATCTGTACTTTGCTATAAGAGACAGGGAAGGAAACTCTCTAAATATTGGGAGTACAGGCATAAATTGGCTACTTACTACCAATGCTGATAAATATGAATGAGCACATCATCTAAGTGGGTTAATTATTAAGTCTACCTTAATTTTTATCCTTAAAATAAAATATTCAATAAGAAGAACAGAAATTTTAAAAATCACACAGGGATGATCACATTTACAAAGCAAAACTAATCTCAAGGTTAATGATAAAGAAAAATGCCATTTTAAGGTTACAGCAAATTGTTAATAGTTTATGTACTCAATGGGTTATTTACGTCTATATATGGAAATATAGGTACAAAATTTTGTGTTATTTAAGTATGCTTTTTCCAAAAATGTCACATGATCCTTATTCAATTATTTATTTCTGTACAATCACACAAACACAAACTAGTGGAAGTCACTCTATAATAATATTACAAAAACTGTACTAACATAGTATGATATCACTAAAGTTGTACGAAATATTAAAAATCTGCAAATAACAGGATTACTTCTATTATATTCTAGAATATTTTACCCCCTTCTGGCTCTATTTTTGTTCATCAGTTTATGTTGTTCACTAGAGGCCTGATGCATGAAATTCATTCAAGGGGCTCGACCCTCACAGCCACAGCAGCTGCCTCAGCCCTCACAGCACCAGCTCATCTGGAAGGTCATCTGGAAGGATGTCCAGAAGATCGTTATGTTCGGCTTTCTGGCCATAATTAGCATATTACGCTTTTTTTATTATACCAGAGGCCCGGTGCACAAAAATTTGTGCACTGGAGGGGGGATTCCTCAGCCCAGCCTGCCCCCTATCACATACTGGGAGCCCTCAGGGGATGTCCTACTTCCTGCTCCCTGCTCCCCTTTTGGGGCAAGCCTAAGCCACAGTCTGGCCTCCCTTTGTGGGAGGCAACTGGGCTGATCAGTGGAAGGCACCAGCCCCATCACCCAACTGTTGCAGCTACTGCCAGTCACCGCAGCCCCCAAGGTGTTTTCATCAACACGGACTCCAGTTCCTTCACCATGAAAAAATGACAACTTACTTTAGGCATTTTCAAGATGTGTCTTTCATAGGATATGACATTTCTTTCTTTCTTTTTTTTTTATCCTGTGGAAGAGAAAAGGAAAGACAGAGAGAAACATCAAAGTGAGAGGAACACTTTGATTGGTTGCCTCCTGCATGAGCCCTGACCTGCACCCCAGCCAGGGAGGAGCCTGCAACTTAGGTACATGCCCTTGGTCAGAATTGAACGCAGACCTGAGGTCGGCAGGCCGAGGCGTTATCCACTGAACCAAACCAGCTAGCCTCCAGCAGCGAGCCTTCGTTTTTGTTTTTCCTCCAGGAGTGTGGTGGAAAAACCCTAGATCACCTTATTGGATTCTTATTACCCAAGTGACTAAGAATATTACCAGTGGCATAGAGGGAGCTTAGCCAATGAGTGGTCAGGAAAGGTGTTGCCTGTGTAGTTCACACCAATCACTGGCTCCGTCCCTTCCCAGGCCTACAGCCTCTAGCAGGGGACCCCCAGGACCCTCTGATTGTCAGCTCCACACTGGCCCAGGGCCCCGA